GTCTGCAAGAAATGGTAGACATCTATTTTAAAATATGAGTCATCAGAAAAGGCAGTGATTTTGCATAATCTCTTTTTTTTTTAATACTAGGCTTTCATTCACAAGGGAACACAAAAGCTCTGACTGCTTACCTTGTAATTGGAGATCAGTTGAGTGGAATTAATGGAACTACATTATTAAGAAATAGAAGGAATTGGCTGAATTTTGTCAAGGGTTGTGGTTTTTACACTGTTCCTTACATGGAACACAAGAGATAGCTTCAAGAGATTCAGAGCTAATACATAGAATGAATCAAAAAATACTTTTCTTTATAAAGCATATGAATAGTGACTGCTTTGGGGGTTAATCAAGGCAAACCTTGAGGCTGAATTACCAAGAGGAGCAGTGGATTTCCTTAGAAACAGATACTGTTTTACATGGTATAGGCCATTTCTTTGCTGAGTAAAAATTGGTATCCTTCTATTTTGGGAATGAACTTTAGGAACTGCTGCTGCTTGGAGCAGCGAAGCACTGGTTCAAGCTACCTGAATACTGTGAAATAGCTTTCATTTGTGGTTCTGAATAGTTAGCCAGGTGGTGCCTTCTTTCTTTCACTGGTCACTTATGAAGTGTCCCAGGCACATCCCAGGATAAGGGTTGAGCCAGGGATTACCTGAGAGCATGTGACCCCTGCAATTCCATCAGACAGGATGGCTACCTGCAGACCAGGCACTGAGAGCTGGCCAGCGTGCTCACTGCTGTCTCTGCAAGGTTGAGATGATCAGGGAGCCAGCATGCAGGTGAGGGTGTCATGGCCCAGATGAGCAGAGAGCCAGACAGGTACAGTCCTGCCTGGGGGTGCACTGGTGCATGGTTGTTGGGCTGTCTGTCCCCAGTTTGATGGCAGTAACAGCAGGGGTACCATGGGGTCTGTCCTGGGACTCGTCCTGTTTAGCACCATTTTCAGTGACCTGGAGGAGGCAACATAAGGCACTTCTGTGGCGTTTGCAGGTGACACCATACTGGGGGGACTAGCTGACAGGCAGGAGGGCAGGCTGGAGGAACAGGCCAGCATGGATGCTGTTGGGCATAGATGGGAACAAAGCTGTGCTGCCTCATAAAAGCAGAGGATGTGATACAAAATGTACAGCTCTTTCTCAACCTCCTCCAGCTGTCTTGTTTACAGTGCAGCTTTACTTGTTTGTTGTATTTTGTTTAATCTCTCTTTGCAAGTGATCTACTGGGCATTGACCAGTGCCAAGGGCAAGGAAGCATCACGCTACAGAACTATGCTTACTTCAGCTTTCAGTATGTTACTGTTTCCCTTCTTGTCCCTCAGGCCTTCATAAATCTCATAAAATCCTTTTCAGATTGAAATCCTACTCTTCCCAAGCTGTAACATGTTTTACAGCATGCATTTCTCTATAGTTATCTTGGTCTCTTGTTGACAGTCTTTAGGTATCAGTTCCTTGGCTGGTAAATATCTTCCTTATTCTTAAATCTATCCACTTGCTTTTGTTCAGAGCAATGCATTGGGATAATAAATTGGCCCACAAGTGTCTGAAACTGCTTAGTTCTTTCTGTCACGCCAGTGTTTCATAATACTGAATCCTGGGAATGTCTTGAAGAAGCCAACAACATCTTCCCCACTTGCACATCTCCCAGAAGAGCTGCAAGCTGCCTGGATTTCTCTAGTAAACACACTCAATGGATGTCCTTCCATAAGCAGCGTTCCAGTAGTTCAATAGATTTATTCCAGAATATGAAAATAGACAGTTGTTTCAAATGCCAGTTTTAAGACTTGCAAAATGGAACTATGTACATGCATAAGATGAGAGCATAAATCAGCTCAGTAAAACAGCTTTGTAAATATTTATGAGCCAGGGCTCCTCATTTCACACATTTTACTCCTTCTCTATCCTCATCTTAAGTTTTCACTTGCTTTAGTTTATAGCTGGTAGATTGGGCTGAGGACCTGACGTTGCTAAATTGCTGCCTGTGTTCCCTGCTTTTGCATATACCACAATCCTAGACCTTCAGTGACTGCAGGTGAATGCATGATCTATAGAAAGAAACACATTTGCATGGAGGGGCATATTCTGAATTCTGATGGACCCACATTGTGTTGTGTGAAGTTTAGCAGGCACCACATTGATGAACTAAAGCACAGCTTGGAGTTTCCTGCTTGAGCTGCCACCCTTCATTTGGCTGCATGTGAGGCAGGACCCACGTTTCCTCTTTGTGTGGATATCAGAATGGGGCTGGTTATTCAGAAGGGTGAGGAAAGGAAGATTAAAAAAACAGTTGATAGGATGAAGGATAAAGGTGTGGAATGGCAGAGATGCAAAGCAGCTGTGAAAGAACAGTGGCACAAGAATCAGAGCTGTCAGGATGCAGCAGAAACGATCTAATGGGGCCTACAGAGATGGGTTATAATCTCATGCAAAAATCTTTGTCCCCCTATCACCTTCTCCTGTGGCCATGATCCTTCCCCAGGCATCCTGGCTTTTTGGTGGCACAGAGGAGAGGAAATGACATTTCACTCCTTCCTTTGCAGCAGTCACAGAGGAGAGCAGAAGGATGCAATCATACAGACATTTTCTTTCCAATTCTTACGAAGGTGTGCCTGTGCTCATTATTTCCATTTGTGTCCATATTAGTGCTGGAATTTCTATTACTCTTCATTAATTCACACCAAAATCTCTGCATTTTCTCCCTATTTCACTAGTATCAGATAGCACCATATTGATACAATAATCAGAAACAAATTCTAAAAATAAACCTACTGATAATTTCCTAGTGTTTGTTTGACCAGACCCTTGAAGTTCCTGACTGGTCAGTGGACTGAGATAAGTGCTATCATTTTTCTTCTCTCTTGTCTGCTGGCTTTTCAGCCTTTTTGAACTGCAACCCACAAGGGGGCTGCGCAGGAGGTGCTTGTGGCAATTCAGGATGGATTATTCTCATTGAGGAATTGGCTTCTGCTGTTTCATGAGAGGCTTTGGCAGATCAAAAGCAGTTGCTGCTGAGATCCTGCCAGGCATGCTTTCCATGTATTTCTGTATGTCTTCACTGAAACTGCGTGGGATCAATAGAATAGGGGAATTTGGGTATGAAAACATTTTTCATTATGTTTACACATCCTAATTAGAGACTTATAAGGACAGCCAGATATGCTGCCATTTAAACAATTGCTTGTATTTAATTGTGTTTGCATTTTTATTGGGGAAATATAACAGAGAAATATAACTTATTAATTTACATGCAGACTTATCAGAAGATTTCTGTACATTGTACAAATGTACATCATTTAATGTATTAGCATGCATTTAATCATATTCCTGCAAATTTAAGTGTCTTCTTGACTGCAGTGGCATCATTCATTAACAGTTACCCTGAACTCTGATGATCATAGGTTTGGCATAAACACAAAAAATATTTTATTCAAAAAGTAGACTTTAGAAAGCTTATTGGCAATTCTTCCTGAAGTTGTGACTCATTTTGTATTTTTAGACACTGCTCAAGCACAACTGCTGGTGTACTTGAGGAAAAAAAATGCTCTTTGATCAAGTAGGATATTTGTCTCTGGTGAGCTGTGCTTAAGGCTTTTATTCTTTAATTTGCATAGTCTGTAGTCACTGGCATTCCCCAGGGATCAATACTGGGCCCATTCTTATCCAACTTGTTTATCCGTGGCACAGGAGGCCCCTCAGCCATTTGCTGTGACACTGAACTGGGGGAGTGGCCGATCACCTGAAGGCTCTGCTGCCATTCCATGGGACCCTGAGAGGCTGGAGAATTGGGCAGAGAGCAGCACAGTGGGGCATGTGCAGGGTCCTGCACCTGGGGAGGAAAACCCCAAGCGCCAGCACAGAATGGGGACTGACCTACTGGAGAGAGCTCTGTGGAGAAGGACCTGGGGTTCCTGGTGGATGACAAGTTGTCCATGAGCCAGCAGTGCCCTTATGGACAGAAGGGCCAATGGTGTCCTGGGAACATCGGGAAGAGTGGCCAGCAGGCTGGGGGAGATGATTCAGCCCTGGTGAGGCCACCTCTGAAATGCTGTGTCCAGTTCTGGGCTCCTCAACACAAGAAACAAAAGGAGATATTGGAGAGGGTCCAATTGTAAGTAACTTAACTTCCAAGTGTGTCCCTTCACCTCATGTTTCCTGATGGCCAGCTCCAGGCAAGTTGCATCCATGGCTTTCTGCAGCCCCCAAGTTGCTTTTTCAAGATATCACGTTCTGCACATCCAGAACATGGGGCTGGGATACAATCCACATATGATGAGCCAAGGGTCAGTGGAATTTTAAAATGTGAATTAGCCACCATGAACATTTCAAGAGCATCTTGGAAGCAATTAATGATAATACCACTCTCCATCTACTTCCTAGGAAAAAGAGAGGGTCGTTCTGTTTTTTTTTAACAGAACCTCTGTTTCTTTGAAATTAACTAAGAACAGGAATGAATCCTCATACTAGCAGATACCTTGTGTAGATGAACAAGTCAAGTCTGAGATGTTTCATTGAATGTGCAGAAACAGTTATTTTTATGCAACAGGGAGCAGCATACAAACCCTCAGAGGCAGTGGTCATGATGTTACGTGCCTGCTTTCACTGCAGTCCCCCTCCTTCATCCTGGACAGTCGAGGACTGGGTTCCCTGATGAAGCTTCCTCTTAAAATTATGCCTCTCCAGAGACCAGAGATTGTCAAGGACCTCTGTTTGCAACACTAACTGCAGTAAATGCTATTGTATTATCCAACAGTAGCAAATTAAATAATCCCACTCCCGTCACTTTCTAACAGGATAAAGTTAAAAGCATTCCTCTGGGATGGAGAGTAATAATTTGATAATTCCCCTCAGTATTTCATGCTTCTCAGTATTGCAGCTAATTTTCTCTGAGTACCTTATTAACATTCACAATGACTTTGCAGTCCCACCCTAATAGCTCTCCGCAGAGGCAGTGACTGTGAAGGTGAGAGCTGACAGTGACATGTTTTCCTCCTTTTTCCTCTACAGATTGTATTATCCTGGTTTCCATCCACTGAGGGCTGTCCAGCTGATGCGAGTGGGCAAGCTGCAGTACAGTCAAGGCATGGTTCCTCAGGCACTGGAAACCTTGAAACAGGTCAGTATGGTGAAATATTTTTTCTCTATCCCTCTCTCATGCTTTCCCCAAAACTGCTGTGTGATTCCCCCCTTATACCTTTGAATACTCCTCACCACTTCTTCCACCAGTGGTGCTCCCCAGGCTGCAGCAGGGTGTGGTGATGGGTCACTGTTGCTCAGCACAGCATTTCAGGCACTGACATTCTCTAGCATCAGTCACAGCTAATTACAGTTTGATAGCTCAGAGGTGCCTGGATGAAAAATTGCTATTAGATCTGAAGAGATAAAATTATCTCAGTGCTTCATATGTTCCTTATTTCTATAGCAAAGTGATTCTGAGAGCACTGAAAGTAAGGAACAGGAGAAGAGCTGCAGTTTCTATCCTCCTTATTCCTTGTTGGGTTCTGTGATTTCAGGGTGGAAAACTTGTCTTTAATGTGTGTATTTTATTGTGAGCCACACTGAAATCAACAGGCATGTCCCTTGATCCCTCATGTTTCTTATCATTCATCATCTTTGATCTGGTTTTGCAGCTGTGCTTTGTTAGTTACATTTCAGCTTTAAGCCATCCCTCTTGTACCTGAGCTCACTTTTATATTCATTTCCTTGTACCTCAGGCTCTTATTTGTCCTGCTGTTATATTGCTGTTAGTGTCATCTTAAGTATATAAAATAATCCCTTTCCATGTGCAAGATGTCCTCAGGATGTAGAATCTTGCCTCCCATCTCAAGCCCTCAATCACTGCTGGGGTGCTTTGCTCCCCCTGGAAGATGTGCTGCCTCTAGTTTCCTTCAAAAAGGTCTTTTTCCCTTATGTTATGGATTGTCCTGTGATCGCTTGCCCTGAAGACTCTACATGCTCCATGTGGTTCCCTGTCCTGGCTCTTGGCTCACTTCCAGTTCCTGACACAGCTCCTCGTTGCCTTTGCTGGGTGCTGCCAAAAGTCCCCTGGCCCAGCTACTTGCCTGTGTCTGCTGGGCACAGCAGGCCCAGTTCTGGCACCAGTGTTGGAAAGAAGTGAAGAATTTGGCTCTACATTCCCTTCTATTAATGTCCATGCTATATGAAGTGCTTTGTGGCAACTGCTGGGGGTAGAAGGGGATGCGTGTCTCCACTGGAGTTGAGGGAAGGGTGCTTTTCCCCTCCTGCCCAGGTCCCCTGTAAAGATAATATCAGTTATGACTCTCTAGGTATTAGTATTTTGTACTTACCTTTTCTTCAACCAACATATCTCTGTGGTTTTAACATCTGAATAATGATGCAAGCTGAATACTTTTCATATGTTGAAGAAATAAATTAGTATTTAATATGATGCTACTCTTGCTAAATCTTGGTATAATTTAAATCTTCACTTGACATATTTTACTTAAATTATAGCCAATTCTGATCATTATAAAGCAGACAGAAGAAGAGTAATCAATTCTATTTTTATGTATTATTCAGAAGTATGTCATATATCTGTCATGTGCCAGGTAATCCCTCTGGCGTTTTCCCCAAAATATTGATAATTTCCAAATATTCAGACTTTGCCTTTTAGCAATGGAATGAGACTCCAGTCAGAGGAGCTTCTATTTTCATTGACACTGCTACAATAATATCAACAGGCATTGTTCTAATTGCATTTCTAATGTGATACTGCATTAGATGAAACTGGAGCGAATTCCCCTGGAGACAAAGGAATGCTGCTGGTCAGTGAAGGTGGACATTGCAATGGGGATTCATGTGTTTTTGGCGAAGAAGCTGACCACTGCAAACCAGATGGCTACACTATGATCCTTTGGAAACTGAGCAATGCCTAACACAGAAACCTTTTCTAGGCTGTGACCTCCTCTTTTTCTGCAAAGGGACATTAAGGTGCTGCTTGCCCTTCTGTGTCATACTTCAGTGAGCCTCTAACAGAGGCTCCAAGCCACTGGTGCTCCACAAGGACACAGCAAGTGCTTTACAACTGAGGTATAGCATCCTGTCGTGGCTTTGCCTATTCCCTATTCAGCCTCCCCTTTTTCACCCAAGTGTGGGACAAGGCGAGACTGAGCTCCCACTCCCTGGGAGCTCAGCTGAGAGGAGGAAGAACTTCTTGTCATCCTGTTTCTCCATGTAACTTCTTCAGATGAGATCTGCAACTGATTCACTTCCTTGCTTTCTATACCAGAACAAATTAGAGGAAGATATAATTCCCAGTTTGTTGTGACTAAAGGATGTGATTCTCAATATTACTCAGATAATGTCCTAGAGTTATATGAGAACACAATTTGCTCCTTTGTGGTTAGATGTGTCAACAGAGCATGCCACATGCTCAGAGCAGAAAGTCGATTACCTTCTCTGCTTCATTACTCTTCTTAATACACTCTGACACTGAATAGCAGCACCCTGTTGGAACCCTCGTCAGACTAATTTCACTGTGGCATTAGGAAGAAGGATATGGAAGGTGCAGAGGAATTGGGATCTGAGTGGAATTCACCTCACATATAAATCCTGTTTAATCAGGCACAGCCTCAGAGCTGCTGGGGATTGACAGCCTTTCTGCAGCAGATACATGGTCTGTTAAGACCAGTAGATCTCACTTGGCTCTGCAGCCCAGCCCTCACTGCTGCTCTCTGTGCCACAAAAAAATGAATCACTATCCTAACCACCTTGCTCTTAGGGCCCTATGGGTTTAGCTCTCTGCCCTGCACCCCTGAAGAAGGCTTAAATAATGTGGAGGGCTTTAAGTTGCCCATCAGAAAGAAATCACCCGCTAAAATTATATTAGGCCCTGCAGAATCTTATTTGCTAGATTTTGAAATAGAAGTTTTACAGAGAGGCAATACTCCTCTGGAGTGATAACTGAAGGTAGTATTTTACAACCAACATATTATTTTTAAATTTTATACATATATGAAAGATCTAATAGCGGATAGATTGAGTTATAGATCTGGAAAGCTTTTGTCAGCAAAAGACAGGAACTGGAGCCCAATCTGAAAAACAATTCGAAGTGCCTGACATGGCATGGTCATGGGAGTACTTTTGTCCTCCATGAGCTGATGGGTACAGCTGTCTTGTCTCATAAACATCTACAACAGGTACTGTATGACTTCCCTTCTTATATAATTCCCTGTTGTGGAGGCAAAAAGCACAGAAATGGGGTAAAATCCTTCCCAGGTCTCACAGGAACACTGAAGAAGTCCCTTCTCTAGGCGTTTGCATCAAACACTGAGTTGTTTACCAGCTGTCATTGGTAGTATTCCTGTGCCTGCTTTAACAACCTGTACTCTTCAATCAAGAGAGATGGAAAACCACAGATACTCCCTCTGAAATACTAGCCTACACTTCCTGCCACGCTGGCAGATGGCCATTTGCTTCTCCTTTCCCTGTGACAGAGCTGGGCCATCCTGCACCTGCCCACGGTTCCTCAGAGCCATGGCCATGGGCATCCTGTTCCATCCCTGTGCAAATCAGCCACAAACACATGCACTGCTCCTCGTTTACATTCATGGAGCAGCAGCCTTGCCTCTGCTCTAATGGGGTTTATATTCTTCAGGGTGTGGCTGGTGACACCGTGGCCTGTGTTGCCATTGTAGCTTTTCATAATTAGATTTTTTCATTTGGCTGGGAGGGAGACCACACAGACCACACGAATCTGCCCAGCCTCCGCTCTGCTGGTGAGCTGTGGGATTGAGATCAGGGCAGTGGGCAGAGAGCCCATGTGTTCCTGCTTCTGTCCAGTAAAACTATTCATTGCACTGGAGCTGAAATGATTCCTTTTTGCACTGACCTTTGCCAAAAGAGCTATATAGCCTAATACCAGTTGAATTTAGGGATTACTCATCGCTGTTCTAACTTTGATGAAGCTGGTTCTGACTCATGCAGCAGTGCATGACAGAGTACATTGCATAAGAATTATTTCCTGAAAGGAAACAAAAGGATAATGGCTGAGTGCTTTTGTCCACCATACTTATGAAAGAAGTGGAAAGAAAATGTTAGAGGTGGGAGAAAGGCAGCAATGGTAGCATTAACTCAATATTAGGTTTGATATTAAGGATTGTTGGTTTTTAATGGAGGTATATCTATACAGACATCTCTGGCTGTGCATCTCGGTGTCATGGTCCAAGTCCATCACAATGAACCTGACCACTATCCTGTAGTGGGGCTGAAAATCCAGGTCAGCTGCCCCAGGACTGTCACTCAGATGTATCCAGATGCACAGCTCTTAGCATACATCATTCACAAGAAATCCATCAGCTTTCTAGGACAGGGCATGCAAGCACTGTGCACCAATATGTCAGGATCCAGGGCCAATTCACCCAGCCACTTAGCTCTAGGCTGATCCTGTCCCCTTCTAGTTAGTCTGGGTGCAGCTGCATGTTACAAAAATTTCGTATTTCTGATTTTGTTTCACATTTCTTTGCCATTTCTAAAAGCAATGAAAGTTTTTCCATTGTTCTTTTTAACTGTGTAAATTACATCATTTAGTAGTATCATTTAGCAGTTTTTCAGTATGCTTCAAAAATGTATACAGTTTTTAGAGCTCCTTGCTCACTGTGATTTGTTTTGACTGATATTTCAACTTGTTCTTTCAATCTTGTGCTGCCTCCCTCTTTTAAGAATTAGCAAATTTGATGCAAAAATAAACTGTGCTGGAATTTCCATATGCCTGCCAGTCTTCATAATTTGGAAGTAGACTTTCATTCATTCCACAAAAGTATATATTTACTTTTGTCTATCCAATTTAAATGAGGCCTCTTCCTCAACATTTCTTCCCCAAGAAGAAATGCTGAAATTCAAAGCCAATTAACTGAATTTTGTCAGCTACTGGACAGGGTACCCTTTGAAACATAGGCTGCATTTAGTTTTTTGCAATTCTTCAGTTTAGAATGATGAAAAATCTCCGATCTTTTCTCCTGCCAGTACACTACTAGCTCCCTTGCTCTATCTTCAGAAGTGCTGAATCAGCTTCCATCTAGGACTTCCCTCCTTGCAGGAGGAATTTAATAGAGAAAGAAGCAGAAATGCCATATGAAAAGTGATGATCTAAACAGAACCTGGGCAAAGAGCATTGCAGACATACATGTGGCAGGAAATCAGCAGTACTACAGGCAATAATAGCAAGCATAAATTAGCCCAGCAGTGGAAGATGACAAACATACAGAGAAAATAGTCCCTGGCAAAAGCAGCAAAGACCCATTCCCCTGCATGTCCTTTAGTGAGACTATTAATGTGCTCATTTGTTCAATGCTATGTATAGTTTCTCCTAATAAAGGTACTTTATTCCATCGGTTAAGCATTAATCAATTTCTATTTTTACAGGACTTTCATGAACATCACAGTCATCTTTTAAATAATGTATCAAAACCTTGGGTGCTGTAGTTGACCAATCTTGAAACAGCCTTCATGTCTCAGTGCAAAATTATCTCTCTCTGTTGTTCCATACACCCAGTTGTGCAACATATTTGTGGGGTTTAACACCTAGGAATAAAGTGTCAATGCCTCCTTCTTTGTCAAGGACAAATCACCGTGCACTTTAGGATGCTTCATTCCTATTTCAGCCATGCCATGCATTCAAGTCCCCAGGTGCCAGCCACTTGAGGACCAGTTCTAGCACCCCACCCTGCTCCAGGGTCCAGCCCCTTTGCATGGTCTGCACAATGACTAACGTGCCCCTTTTTGTTCTTTCCTACAGGCCTATAATATTATGAAGGTGACCCATGGGACAGATCACAGCCTGATGAAAGTCTTGATGGAGTTAAAGGAAGAGTATGAGGCCATGATGAGAATACAGTGAAGATAATCTCTAGTCTGGAAAACAAAATATTCAAGGACAAAGATGTTGTTTTTTATTTAATTGTGAAGGTTCTCAATGGTTTTAGTGTCTTTTTTATAAGTCCTATTTGCTTTACAAAAAGGTTTCATATTAGTTTTGCTGTATGGTCTGAATTGAGTGGGTGTTTGGTACAATTCCTGTAATTTTCAGAGGGTTTTTTGTATCATCAATCATCAGTCCTATTGACAATAACTAAAAACCTAATTATTTGATTCTAAGTATTGGCAAAATGCATACAGAGTCTTCATCAGTTACAAAGTGATCTAATTCCACTGATATCAGCAGTCATTTTTGAATTACTTTTATGAATTGCTGGCGTCCGTTTATGCCAGCAATTAGGAATCTCTTGTCAGACACATTATAAATTAAGAGAATATACTTTTTTCCCTTTGCCTTGCCCTTTGGTATGGTTTCTGAAAACCTGATCCAGTGCTCTTTGACATCAAATAAGTTTCCTGATGTTTTATATGAGTTTTTCTTCCCTCCCAATAGATCTGCAGGGCTTTGTCTGTCTTCTTCTTCCATTTCATAGCTTATAATATTGAATATTAAAATGGATTAAATAAAAAATTTTGTCATGGGTGGAAATTGCTTACTCTGCTTTTCCCCATTTTGCCATCTTCAAGAGTTTCTCATTTCATTACAGTTTTAAAAACTGATATTTGGACCTGTGAGTTTTCAGTGCTATGGCTTCTAGAGCTTTCAAAATCTGTGGATTTTGAATGTCACATCCCCAAAAAGAGAAGGCCAGAGACCTACAGATGAACACGTCATCCCTGGGGAAGACAAGGATGTCTTGGAAAGAACGGGCACACTATTTCCCCATGCGGATCAGCAAGAGACTTGTTCTTGCCAGAGCTGTTTACTACCATTTTTTAACACAGAAATAAATATTAACAAAAGCCAGTATTTATGAGGGACATTGAAACTTAAATAATTTAAGGCCTTTGAAAGTATTGCTTCAGGTGTGTCACTCCTTTAACAATTTATTGCTGCTACTCCAGCCATGACTGTTACTTCATTAATCCATCGCTGTTGTAAAGTCAGGCTTTTTTCACACCAGTAACCTGACACCATTAATTATTACAAGATGAGAACACATTTAAAAAGAAAATGAACACTCTGGGCGTAATTTACAGCCATGGCACACGAATGCCAGGGCTGAGGAAGATATCTCCTTTCAAGACGTTTGAATTTGTTCCAGCGTTTGGAGCGTTCACTTGCCCGGCAGTAATGTGCAGGCAATAACCTCTGAAATGCAGTGCATTTCTGGAGTACCTAGCATGGCTTGCTGCCAGAGGCCAGGTCATATCAGCCACCCAAGAAGTGCAGTAATCCTCACAGAAATTCACTGCTTGGCTGGGTCTTCCTGCTATTAGAAAAAGGAAATTGTCTGGGGGAAAAGGTCAGACCTTTGCATTTATTGGGAGTTTTGACAAATTACTGATGGACAACCAGACTTCAAAGTCTATTTTCTGGTTTTAAATGGGCACATGCATATTGGAATTTTCATTATTTTTGTGTAAAGATCATGCTTATGTTATCCTGTATTTACATATGTGGTACTAAGATTTGCAGATGGAGGGGCCTTCAGAATCTAAGGTCAGGTGATGCATTAGTTTGTGCAGCATATCCTGGGAGACAGCCCAGAAGCTCTCATGCATGCAGACACATCTGCAGGTATGAAGTGCAGCACTGTTTGCTGGGGCTTCGGCTACAAGGACACCTCAACAGTCCAAGGTAGGAGCTGGGGGATAGGCAGTCACCTGCTCTTGTATGAGAACAGCTACTTTACAGCAAGCTAAAACCTCTACCTGTGCTGGGGCCTTCTCTCTTCTCCGGGAAGACACTTAGAGGTAAGGTACAAAGGAAACAGTTCAGTGACAGACTGATGGGAAACAGAGAAGGAATGTGCTGTTGGCTGTGGAGTGTCACACAGCAGCTGTGCTGCCATGAGTGCAGAGCTGTTGGAAATCCATCCACAGCCCCAGTACTCAATGCAAGAAACTGAATGGGCACCAGGATCCTCAGTATGGGGAGCATAACCTATGATTTCTATTAATTACTGTTGATGCAAAACTTCTTTCAGCTTGGTCAAGGCAAGAGTCACATTTTCTGGTTGTTTTCAGTAGTTTACTGAGCAATTTCCCTTGGAGATTCCCATGCACTAACACCACCAGCAGTGCTGCAGGGGAGGTTGTTGTGGGCAGATTTTTTTCTCTTGGTGGTCCTGCTTCAGTCTATTTTCTGCAGAGAATGCTGGTCTGTGATTGTGGAGGGATTTACCTGAATGCATTATTTGAAAGTGTGGCAGCAAGCAAGGGTGCCAGGGAGGAGGCAACTTTAGATAAGCACTCATTTCAAATCAAGTAATATTATCTTTGCACAGACATCATGTTTCAGTTTTCATGAATAATATCTGTCAAATTTCTCAGGTGCTGGTATTAGTGGTAAGATAAAGATGCTAAAGTCAGAAAGAGGCAGACTGCAACATTATCTGTTATGCTGGCAGGTTTGCTGCTTGATTCCCACAGGTTGGAGGCTTTTCTGGTGCCTTTTGGAAAGCAGTGGTTACTTGAGTTCACCTCAAGTTTTAGGAAAGCATTTTGCCTTACTTGTGTTTTGTCACTCTCCCTTAAATTACTCCAGGAAAAACAATGTTAGATTGCACTCAGAGGCAGCAGAATCACACTGTGTGTTTGGAAGAAAAGCAGTAGCAGAACACAGGGAAAAAACCTTGGGGAATGATACAGTTTTGCTAAGAATAACTGATTACAGTTGAAAAGAATATTTGTCTTAAACAAAAAAAAAAAAAAAAAGCTCCCTAAACTCTGTTATTTCTTTAAGAATGGCATAATTCTCTGTATCCATGCCCCTCAAGGGTGCTGACCAGAAGCTGGAAGTAAAAACTCTCTGAGACCTTGGCAAACAGTCTATTATGCAGTGCATAGCAGAGATAGTAGAAAGTAAAAGAAAAGCAGTGAAGGAAAACACAGTAAACCATTTTTTTAGAGCTTTGACCTCTTTGACTCTGTCAACCTGTGTGTGAAGTCTATCGTGCATGGGTTTATGCCAAGAAAACTCTCCCACTGCTCAGCCTTTTTTCTGCTTCTCATTGTAACCCTCTTCCCTGATAGCTAGGTTTTTAAGTGAGCTTTTCTTACACTTGTTTTTTTTTTTATAGAGCATGTTTATGAAATACAGAGGCTATTTCCCCACACAGTATATTTCAAGCTGTCCCTGGCCACTGCAAATCTCTTAATGAACAGAGCTCCATTTTTCACAGAGGTTGTGCCAATTATGAGGATTTTTTTCCTGAATCAGAATTAAACCTCCCATAAGACAAGAAGGCGGAAGGTCTTACAATTATGGACATGGAGTTCTGGCGTGGCTTCTCTGCTGCACCAGAAATTGTATCTGACCTTGGGTAAATCAGACAGGGTTAGACACCCATACTTGAGTTTCCTTATTGTTGATTCTTGGAAAATAATGACAAGAGGAAGGGAAAAGGAAAAGGAAAAGGAAAAGGAAAAGGAAAAGGAAAAGGAAAAGGAAAAGGAAAAGGAAAAGGAAAAGGAAAAGGAAAAGGAAAGAAAGAAAAGAAAAGAAAAGAAAAGAAAAGAAAAGAAAAGAAAAGAAAAGAAAAGAAAAGAAAAGAAAAGAGAAAAGAGAAAAAAAAAAGGAAACTGGCTATGACTCTTTCAATAACTCTGCCTCACATGAGTATGTCCAAATTGATGTCAGAAGTGTAGCAACATGGCAGTGTCTGTGTTACAGCCTTGCCATGGCTGGCTGTGGTGGCACAGGTGGGAATGGCATCATTGTAGTTGTCATAACTGCAGGTATTGCACTGAGAGTTCCTCCACATCTGAGTGCCAAACATGGGCAGAGAGCTGTAAGCTGCTCCTGTCTGTGCTGTACCTGCTCCAAATAGACAAAGCTTTGTTTCCACCCATGGAGTTTCAACAACATCTAAAGAAAAAAATGCAAAGCAAGTGCTTTTCTTTATTTCAGACCAAAGCCATGACAGAGTTCCTCTTTTCCTTTTCTATTTTATTCTTATTCAGATTACTATTTTCTCTTTCCTTTCAATGTACATTTTTCCAAACAAAACTCCTTTCCTTTTTTGCAAATTTAATTAGCCTGAAAATAGATTTGTTATGGCTCTTTTATAAAGGGCACCCTACAAGAACATCGAAGTGTGAATTTTCCTTGCCCTAAGCAAAAGGAAAAGGAGTGCACCTTATCTGAAAGTCTCTGGTCTGCAATTCTTGCCATTTAGCAAAATGGTTTCTGTTTATCCCCTCAGCAGTGATGTGTAAGCCAGGCCTATGTCATCCCTGTTAATATTTCCTGGGGAAAGCTCAATGTTTTTATTTGCTCTGCACTTCTGATCAACATGGACAAATCAATTCTAACTCCATCGTTTTTTAGACTTCTTGTAGGTTTTAATAAGAACCTTAGAGATTCCCTCCCCCCATATAAAAGAATAACTCAGGCCTAGTAATTAGGCTTCATACAGTCATTGCTCACACCGAGGAACCTAACAGGTTCTTTATAGTTCCCAGGAGACCAATTAACCTTCTTTTAAATATATCTCTATATAGCCACCGAGACAGGCACACAGAGAAATGCATACACACAACAAGCTTTTCAGCAGTCTCAGATGCTTCAGCTCCTTATTAACCAAATTCTGATGGGGTTTATGGTAAGAGGGCAGGGCTGAAGCATCCTGCCTGAGTTCCTTTTAACTCTAAAGATAACTAAATCAGGACAGACCACAATCTCTTCTAATTTCCTTGCCCCCAGGACAGGAGGAAGAGAATAATCATGCAGCTTCTTCCATGCCTTAAGTTCCCCTACATCTCTTGGGGTGGGGCAGGCACCACTTGCTGGTCCCATTACCTGCTCCCTAAGGTACCAGCTGAGGAGCCTGCTCTCCCATCTCTGCTTCAGTTAAGGGCTGGTATAGTGGGGCTGACAAGATGAGGAAAGAGCAGTGATTTCTTCCTCCTCCCCTCCAATTCAGCAGCTCTGATTCCCAGTCCCAGTGGCTCTGAATAGGAAGGTGGCAAATTTACATATGTCTTGAAGGAAAACTGCACTTTAAATCACAGGTGATCCCTCTTGACAATTCCACTTGACTTTCAGAGCAAGAGCCAGGAGACAGTAATAGAGAAGGGTGTCTGATGAGAAAATTAGCAGAGCACCACTCTTCCCCTCCCCCAGGCCCTGTGCACTGCTCCGAGCAGTTCTTGCCTATTTACTCTTAATGAAGCTCCTTTTAATGAAGTATTTCTTGTGCTGTCTTCCTGTTCCTGCCTCTCCTTGTGGTGCTGAGAATCCCATGATAAAACAGGTAGAGAAGAGGCCTGATCCTCCCTGTTCTGTCCCTTGGGGACACCCAGGTGATGTGTTACGAAGCCCTGGAGCTGCCATCTCTCCCACCAGCAGCAGCACACTGCAAGAACCCAAAGGGAGGGATAGAAAGGCTGTTGTACTCTTGGATGGAATTTCAGTTATCACACTGCAGCAGGGAGGAATTGCTCTCCATACCTAT